ACAATATCCTATGAACTGCTAACAAGGAATCACAACCTTCTTGAAAGTATTCAGCTTTCCATAATTCAGTATTTGATATTTCTGGCTCCATAAAACTATATTTAAACCGAATATTAGAAGAAGGTGCAGGTTTATACCACTTGACAAATGCTAGAAGGTGAGTTTTCGTTCCTTCTGGAAATCTAAAGGCATGCTCGAAATAATATTGGATTTCATCCGGATAAGTGTCAATTGAATCATCATTAGCTGCTTTCCATTTTGCAAATATATTCGCATTTTTTTCATAATGATGATGATGATGATGATGAAGCTATTGTAAATGAAGAATTAAATTCTACTCAGATGCTTTTGTTTAGTAAAGGAAGGAAACTATGTGAAATTTTGCTGGCAAATAATGAACATTTCGTTGCCTCAGAAAAATCAAAAACTACTGAAATATTTACTGTATTGGCCGAGTTATCAAAATTTGAAACAATTAAAGTAGTTGACAAGGAATCTACTAAGAGGATAAATCAATGAAGGAATCAGGAAACGTATTGTGAAAAGCTGCTAATTGCGGCTGAATCTTTTAACTTATTGCATTTGGTGTCATTGGTTCAAATTTATGATGATCTTACAAAGTTCAGTTTATAATTAGAAATTAAAAATGTAAAATCTTGGGTTATTTCGTTCATGCGATCTATACTTAAAATTGGCAGAAAAGCTAAACAAAAAAATAGGCTGGGTTGCAATAGGTTACGTAGGTTATTTAATGAAGGAATAACAGCTGTGCAACTTGCGTAAGCAGGTTGTCGCAAATGTGATTTTTTTGTTACAAAAGAAAATTACAAAATATTTTTATCACAAATTCCTTCTTTACAAACTTGCTGATCAATTACTTCGAGCATATCAGTTGAACGTATATCAGAAATTATTGAGCCAAAACAAAAGTGAGCATAATTATTTTAAAGTATATTTAAATTATAAAATGTAAATGTAAAGTTATATGCAATATTTTTTTATAGCAATTAAAAAATAGTTTTATTTTGACAAATTTATCCAATAATATATATTATATGTACGCTATAACTTAGTAATTTTATTCAAAAAGTGGACAAAATTGTCCAAAAAGACATTATGCTACTGATAAATTAAGTAATTTTATAATAAGATCAATTTTATAATAGGTAACGCGTTTAGGATTAGTAGTACAAAACACGTAATAATTAGAGTGGACAAATTCATTATGCTATAATAAGATCGCGTTTAGGATTAGTAGTACAAAACGCGTAATAATTAGAGTGGACAAAATTGTCCAAAAAGCCATTATGCTATAATAAGATTGCGTTTAGAATTAGTAGTACAAAACGTGTAATTAATAAGAGTGGACAAAATTGTCCAAAAAAAGTTTTTGAAAACGCGCAAACTCTTTAATTTTTTTATTTCAGATATATATATTTTTTTCTTCTAGTCTCACACAAAATGGATTTGCCTTTTGAACTTAAGCTTCTCAAAAGAGGTAGACCAAAAGATGACGTATGGCAATATTATTTAAAAGGGAACATGATTTACAGAGATACGCGAGTGCTGTATGCACTTATTGTAATATAAAATGCAGCAGGAGTGAAACTTCTCTTCTTAAGGGTCACCTTGCTAACCACTGTATGAAAGCTTCAGAAAATGTTATACGAATGTATCAACGTAACTTTAAAGAAAACACTAAAAAAAAAATGAAAATTAATAGCTAATTAACACTTAGATGAGCCTGGGATGCTATAGGTACTATATATAGAAAGGATTTTAAGTAAAAGTAACATTCTTTACATTTCTTTTTATTTTATTTTTCAGGTTATCAGACTCCTGAAAAGTCGAACTTGGATTTAGGTCTAATTCTATAAAGAAAGTTGGACTTTTAAATTGGATTTTTATTTGCATCAAAGTAACATATTAACATTTCTTTTTTGTATATTTTGTAAGAACAGGTTTTTCCTTAGAACTACTTCAAATATCTTATAAAAATGTTGGTGTGCATGGCATTTTTTTTAATAAAGATTTTTGAAAAAGAATGTTTCATATTTATTTGTATTTGTATTTTATTTTTATTTTATTTAATAAAGTACTAGTAAATAATAGTAATTTAAGCAGTAAATTCAGTGACCAAATCATTATAAATTTTGTGACTAAACCATATAAATTCAGTAACAAAACCAGTGTAAATTCCATGATAAAACTGTGCAAATGATACGTTTTTGTGATACAAAATTGTGCATTTTTCTGTATCCTCTCATGATAGTACGTTATTTCTAGGAAAAAAAAATCTTATAAAAAATGTATCCAGTTTTTTATAGGGTATACTTTGTATTGTACTATATTTATCTATATTTTACAATTAATATAATTAATGAAATTTTAAATATGTTAATAATTAATAAATTATACTATTGCTATTGTTATCCTATCAATGATTAAAGCTGACTGAAAAATTTTAACGCTTTAATAGGTTAACTGGAGTTTAACTTAATAGGAGAATCTTAAGTTGATTACAAATAATCACGTGAAATAATGTTGGATGTTTAGTTAAAAAAAATAGGTTTTTATTAAAATAATATAAAGTTTTAGATACGACGAAAAATATAGATAATCTCTTAGTTGCAAAATTAACTATCTTGAATTATATTACTGGGAATAATACTCTTTTCATATAACTCGAAAACTATAATACAATTCTGAATTATTTGTAAAACTAACTGTTTAATGAACTATTCCTTCAACTTGGTAAAATTCTAACACTATTTATAATAAAATAAAAATTAAGAATATTTGATAAAATAAATAAAATAAATATAATAAATAAAATAAAATAAAATAAATATATCAAATAAATAAAATATAACAAATAAAATAAATAAATCAAATATATCAAATTTAACAAATAAAATAAATAAATTAAATATATTAAATTTATTAGATTTATCAAATAAATCAAGAAAATTAAGAAAATTGAAAAAATCAAGGGATTTATAAAATGATCTACAAAATGATCTATATAAAATTAGGACCCCAGACATTTCTTATAAAACTCACAACTGACTTTTTGCCAAAAAAAGACTCAATTTGCTCTTTTTTTATTTTCTGTTTTTTACAATTATCTCAGTATCCAGTAATCCGATTCATGCAGATTTTTTTTATTTTGTAGAGCTTGATGAGAGCTACAAAACAAAAAAAGTTTGTACAAATTGGACTACTGGATGCCAAGATAATCGCAAAAAACTGATTTTTTTTTTGTGAAATTTAGGTCAATTTGCGAAAAAGTTGCCACCGAGTTGTATATGTAATGTCCAGGGTCCTATAAAATTACTGCGCCACATTTCTACTTTAATACTATACACGTTTTTAATATCAATATACATATTTTTATATATTATATATACATTATTAAACTAATATTGTTTTACTATATGTTATTTTATATATAAAACACTGTTACATTACATATTTTTTAACGTTTTTAAGTGGTGTTAATTGACAAAAGGTTTATATCTTTACATTTTTTGGCATTGAGTAACATATGGCATTGTTTAACATATTATACATCTGTCTAAAACTGCCTGATAGATAGGAGGAGGCCTGGCCATAAATTCTAGTAAAGTAGAAAAATGATTTAATCACCATTTGATTCATCATTATGAGATGATTCTAATAAGCTATGGTGCATTTTTCTACAATCATTGGATGCTGAAATATTAAGTAAAACATCATACAGTGCAGTATCGCAAATACAAAATGCTGATTTTTGACATTTTGCTCAATATCTCAGCATTTAATGATCATAGAAAGACAATTTTAACCATTATTTAACTTATTATTATGAGATGATTTCAACAAATTATAGCGCATCTTTCTACAATCATTGTATACTGAGTTATACATGCCACCCAAATTATTTTGGACTGCCGTAATTATAAGTAAAATCCCAAATTCAATTATGGCATCCCAAATTATTTTGGCACTTTACATAGTAAATTATATATAAACCGAATGAATTATGGCATCCCAAATTATAATTATGGCATTCCAAAATAATTTGGGCAGCATGTATATACTGAGTTATTAAATGATGAAATGTAATATTTTTAAGTTTTGACAATTTTGACATGTTGAAACTATTTCAGTATTTTAACAAATCAGAGAACTAATGTCAAAATATCAAAATAGTTTTGACAATTTCGACATGCTGAAACTCCCTAATTTCGGCAGGTAACTTTAGTCATATTTACACAAACATTCACATCACAAGATATGTTTATATATTAAATTAACTTAAAGGTAAAGAACCTTCAGAAAATAATACAATTACGGTATTTTATGATTATTATAAAATCTGATGCTCTCACTACATTATCATAGAAATCAGAAAAGAAGCTTCTATTAAAAAACAGGAAAAATTTAGTATTTTATTTTTTATTTTACTTCCTGTTTTTATTCATATAGCTAGGTTTTAATTTTGAAACTTTCTTATATAGATTAAAAAAAATTATTATTTGTTTTCCTTTTTATTATTTTCATTAAGTTCTCTAAATTTTTTCTGGATTTATGACCTGAAATAGTTTATAGCTGTAATGGAAATTCCTATATACAGGAATCTATTTCTGCTGTAGTAAATCTATTACCCATAAATTACAAATCTCTTATTTATCAAATTTGTTTGGATATACAGTATATATAAAGGGAAAATACTACTTTGAGGTTTTTATTTATCTCATCCAATTTTTTTGTCACATCATTTTTCATAAGCAACCAAGAAATCTTTTAATAAATAATTGATATTCTGGTTTGGATAAGAAGGTGAAGTACTAGAAGAAGCAGAGCAGGTAGGTGGTATAGTACAGATAGGTCACAATTTTTGATTACTTGTGGAATAAAGCTAAACATTTTTTTGAATAATTATTTTTTTTTAAAAAAAAATTTCATGGTATAAATAAATCTCTGTATTGTGAATAATTGACCGGAGCGAAGCGAAGGACAATATATGTCTAAAAAAAATCGATCACGTGAATTTCTCTGTCCGCCACGTGATCGTCACCCAATCCGTTTCCTAGTAATATTGTTGTGTTTGACGAGTATTGATTGATTAATATGATTTTATGATTTTGCCGCATGAAAATTTACCCCTTAAACAAATATTATCAATAAATGGATTTTTGTTTTTGACCGGTTTTGAATTCCTTTGCATTTAAAGACCGGTTTTTTATTAGAAATTGGACCGGTTTGAAACCGGTTTGAAATCCTGTGTCGGTTTGGAGCACTAATTACAGTATTGTACAACTATCTAATTTCTACTCTAATTAATTTTTCTACTTGTAATTTGAAACAGAAAATTGACTTTGCATATTCATTTGGTATTGTATTCACTTAATTCGAGGCAAAATATGAGAAATCGTGTGAAGTGTACGTCCATTTGGAAAATTTGGAAAATAAAAATTCTTCAATACTTTCTTTGAAATACTAGTCTTTTCAAATGCATCATTAATATCTTTAAATGGTCTTTTTGAAAAAATTACGTTTGCTCGTTTTTCACCGATTTGATTCACCTTGCAGAGTTGCTCGATAGGATCGGTATTGATGTTCACTTCGAGGGTAGGAGCAGCAGAGGGTATAGGGGTGCGGACTCTAGACTGCCTAAATGCTCTGCCCGCAAATGGCCCAAAATATTCCTTAAAATTTTTTTCATATACAATTCCGGATCGTCTTGGAAGTTTTACATCACAGTTTGCTGAAGTTGTAAATAGGATAAAAAAATCATCATATGATGAAGATTTTGTACGTTCTTTTGCATATAATTGTTGATTGATCGAATTTTGTGTATGTTTGTATTGTTGAATTTCGTTCAGACTCTTATCATCTGGCAGATCTAACGAAATGAAGGCATCTCCAGCTTTTGCGCCTGGACTGTTAATAATACAATGTTTGAATTGCCGAACGTTAACGATAGATTTATTGCACTCAACGTTCCAACTGCGTGTAGAGATTTTTTCAGATCTTGTGTCTGTTCGATGTTTTGCATATTCAAGCTGTAGATGGTGATTTATAAATTGGAGATCACCATTTAAAAGCGCTCCTGCGTGAACCTCCGAAATCGTTGTTGGCTCATTTTCATCGAGTATAGTTGACTTCAAACAACGAAAAGTCGCAACAAATCTTTCAAAACCCTGCCATGGTTTAGATCCCGGTGATGACATAAATTCTCGTAGTTCTTTATAGTCAGAAAATGCCCAATCTCGAAGTATTGAATCTCCCCACTCATGAGACTTTTCAACAAGCATCCAGAGCCATATATACGGCGCAGTGAAATATCCCGTTTGTGCCTCATGTTTTCTTTCAAATCGTATCAAACCACTGTGAATGTATTCATCTGGGTTTTTTTCCGTTCTAGGAACAGGCTTGTCTACATCTAAGAGAGTTCTGGTTAATACTGCTCGTGCAATGGCCCTGGCATCTCTGCCAGTATTCTGAAGAGCTTCAACGTATCGATCAGTGAGCCTAAAACGAAGATCATTCATCAAGTTCTCAACATTGCACTTTTCAATAGAACGACCAGCCATACACTCACTCAGAACTTCTAGAGCCCTTCCATGGCCCCCACAATCTTCCACAAGAATATCCATAATTTCTTTTTTTTCAAAGACTGGGATTACTTTATTTCCTTGGCGATATGTTGGAGGTTTCATAGAAGGGACTGGCAAGTATGCACGTTTTCGATGCGAAAATTGTAATGCTTTCTCAACTGAGGTAGCGATTGTGCAAGTAATGCATGGCAATAGAAAAATTTTTTTCAATCCGAGATCTCCGATAGATGACATAGTACGGTAAAAATCAGAATCTTTATTCAAACCGTCATCAGTACTTAACATAAGCTGTTGCATGGCATCAACGATCAAAATAACCGTTATGTCCTTCAAATCTCGATTCCGATATTTAGCAACCAATGACAAAACAGACATTGGAGACGGTGGCTCATATGTGAGACGAACCTCATCAAAATCCATTTCTTCTCTAAGAAGTTGAAATAGCATTCGAGTACCAATGGCCAGAAAAGGATCTTCCCTTGGCCGTAAAGCAGTTCCATTCTCATAGCTGACATTGAATACATAAGCATCCTTAATTCTAGCTAATAGGTCTTTATCTTTACTAACTGAACTGATTGCCGTCTGTTGGAATTCATTAGCGTTTCGAGATTTTCCGGTCCCAGCTCCAGAAAGAAAGAGATATATCGGAATGTTTGTTTTGTCAAAATCGCCTTTAAGAAAAGCATCAAAATGTTCTCTGATCGTTTTTTGCAAAATTTCTTTCAGAGTTGGGTCAGGTTGATATTCCCAATTCGCACCAGAAGTGCGAAGTAAAGGTTCTGGTTTCAAGTATAACAGGCCTAAAACATAATATAATGTTCAGTTAGTCACAACATATAGTTCCGGTGAGACTTGTTGATATATACCTTGAGGAAAAGCATCTGCTATATTTATTTTACTACGTAATTCTTTTTGAGCGGATTTGACGATAAGAAGCAGGAAAAGGAAAGAAAAGCACAAAGTTATGCAAGCATTCGGTATTATCGGGAAACATGACAGAGAAAACGAACAAACAAAGCCAAAACTATATTATTGAATATGCTTATATATATGAAAATACCAGTTGACACTTTCTTCAGGTACGCGAGTCTCTCGGTACAGTTATCCTTTGGGATTGTATTGAGAACATTCGACACAACTTTTATCTTTGCATTATTTAAGATACTAGTGAAAAATGCTCGCAATCTAGTCCTCTCTGTTTCTGGAAGAGCTTCCTCGTCGAGATTCAAGGCGAGTCGGCTAATCTCTTGACTAATATCGGTTATTAAATTTTCACTTTCTGTGTTTGAACTGGTTAAGCCAGGCATTTGGAAATTGTTTTACAAGTTCGGAGTGATGTACAAGATGTACAAGCAAACACTAGACTAACCCGCTATTCATTTATGCATGTGCATAGTCGACAAGAATATAGGAGGAGGTTGGTTAGCTTCAGAATTTTCGCTTGTTTGACTGTGATACGTATCTGCAATATATTTATCTGTTAATTAAACGTAAAGATAGGAGGTCGAATTTTTGAATAACAATTTCTGGGTTTTGGTTTTCAAGCTAATTATAATTTTGAGTTTTTTAACATCCTAGTGCTATGAAACTGATGTTGAGTCCTTTACACCTCTAGTGCAATTTGATATTTTTGGAAGAAGGCATCAAGCTCTAATCCATTCAAGAAAGGAGGGTGATATTTGATCATAGGTTTCTTGTCAAGAATTTTCTTAACTATCTAGATGCATTTAATCTGGAATTTGTGATTTTTTTTAGATTTCCTTTCTGCTCAAACTTGCTCTAATTTTATAATTCTTTCTAAGAGTTCAGTATACTCCTGCCTTAACTTTGCATTCTTGGCCTCAAAATTCTTAGCTTTAAGCATTGTTCCAATAATTCAAATTCAGGTAATATTATTGATAAATTTTATATGAGATATGAATTATTCTTTTTTTTTTTATTTATAGTATGTCTGGTTGAAACTTTATCGAAAACATTGTAATGGTGCAGGATACAAATAAACGAAAGTTCCCCACTCCTACTGTGCAATGAGAATGTCCAGTTACACTTGCATCAAGTAATGCTTTGCACCAAAAAGAAATAAATAAAAATAAAAATGAAAATGAAAATATAAAGGTTAAAGTCGACAATGAATCCACCCTACAACTACTACATTTCTAAAACTAGGCCCCACTGATCATTTTGTATGGAATTCCTCAAGATACTCTTAATTCTCTTAGCATTGATCTAATATCAGCTAAAACAGTTAGTTTGTTGATACTGTTTAAGTGCTTGTCAATTTTCTTGGTTCGCTTAGTCTCCTTATGTTTCTTATCTGACATAATTGTATTAGTATTCTTCTGAGATACTTTGGAATCATTATCTTTCTTTACCTTCTGATGGTAGTTCTTTTTTTGCTTCAAGTTAGAGGTATAATACCTTTTTCAATTACCTGTAAATTCGTTTAAATTGAAAGTTTTACCAATGACTTTATTCAAGTTAGCTCACAATTTGTAGTAAGTTATCAATTTTTGAGTACCATATCTTGAATTAATTTAAATGCTTTACATCCAGTAGGTGTAAGAATAAAGGGAGCAGGGTTATCCAAATATAAAAATGCAGTGATAGTAGAAATAGGAACTCCTATTAATACTGCCTGGAATCATTTCTGTTCTTTTCTTTATTTGAGATTCCAGTTGAATTTCCAAATGGAGCAGTTTAAGCTTTACCATTTCATAGATCTATTCATTTTATTGCTATCTTATTGAGGTTCACTACACAGTAACTGTGATGTATTTCTGTTGCGATTTAAATTTGATCGTAATAATTGATCCAGGTTTTTAAGTGATTAAGTACATCAAGTTGGGTCCATCTGGAGGGGATATCATATATTGTAATTTCACAGATGTGGTCTTTAACTTTAGGATTATATTCAGTTATCACAGTACTAATTGTTTTGGGTGATAGTGTAGCTAGTTATTTTTTAGGAGTTTTACAACTAGTGCTAGCTGAGCTAGTGAGATATGAATTATTCAAATTTTTGTTAACAATATATAAAAATAATATTATTTTAACAAGAAAACATTTGGATTATACCAACTAATCATTTTCTAAGAAAACAGTTTTTTTTTTGTTAAGAAAAATTTTTTATTAATACATGTAAAAATAAATATAAAGCTTGGAATGTAGCTTAAATACATATTATTTTTTAATAATTTTTTAATTTTAATCTTTTTGCTAGTTGAAAAACTATCAATACTATTAATACAATCTTTCAATACTAATTTATAGATCTCAATGGGTAAATTTTGAAAAAAATTGATTTTTTTAGAAAAAAATTTTTTACCATTTTTTTTATAGTACTTCAAATGTATTTAAGATAATACTTGGGATTTTAAACATTTTTAAAGATTTATATAATGCATTTTAAATTATTCATTTTTCATGAAAAAAAATTGCTAAAGTTGATCTAGTTATCCAGAAAAAAAAATTTATTTTCAAAAAAAAATTTAGCTGATTCCTAGAAGATGATTGGTTGATTTAATAAATTTTTTGTTCAGATTATTGAATGGAAAAAAAAATTATTTTTTATGATTATGATTGGTTAAAACCAAAATTATATGGCCAAATAAAATAAATTTTTTTATCTTTTTGTAACATTTACATAACCTGCCTAGTTATGAGAAACGAATAAATTTATTTACTTAGTCTTAGATAATACAGTCAACTCTCTTTATAGTCACACATTTGGGACAGTCCATATTTGGTGATTATAAAGAGATGTGACTATATAAAGAATTTCTTATATTTGTATATCATAATTC